CACGCCGCCGTCCATCGCGGCCCGGAGTCGTCGGTTCCGCCAACCGGAGCCGCCAACGCTGTACTCCGCGCCTAATTTTATCCTGGAGGGGCTTCGAGTTTCGCCCTTGTTAAAAGAAGAGCCCCCAACCCCGCCTCGTCTCCTTCAGGATGACGACGACGACGACGGGGCGGTGCGAACGCACCACCTTACCTAACAGTGCGACTGGCAACGATGACTCATCGCTGTCCGCTGAGGTCGTTATTGTTTGGAGCTATACACGTAATGTTTGACATGCTCCCCCTCCTATCCAGTGTAAAGACAGGGCCTCGGCCGCCAACGATGCATTTACGTCAAATTGGGTGCGTAGGGCGTGACGTCACCCGAGCCGGGGCCGCGCGGGCCGCGGTGGCGGCGGGGTGCTCGCTGACGCGCTGACGTCACCGTTGGCGGCCGGAGGGCCCGCCCGGGCCCGCCCCGCCCAGCCCCCCGGGGGCCCGGCCGGCTAGCTTTAGCTAGGCGACCACACTCTCCCTCTCACGCCTTCACGCACACTACAGGCTCCCACGTGAAGCAGCAAGCGTCACACACAGCAGCACCACGGCGACGGTCTCGGCCATGTGCGAGTGTCACGTGCGCGCCGATAGCGGGCTGCTGCGCTGCAGCGGCACGGCCCGGGGGCAAACAACAAGCCCATGTATAGAGTGCAGAAACTTCGTCAGCAGGCGCCGCCGGCGGGCGCGTGACACGTGACACATGCCATTGGTGGTGGGTCTTCGGGACAGGCCGCCGCCGCCGCCGCCATGGACGCCGCCAAAGATGCCGTGCACCTCGTCGTCCTGCAGGCCGCGGGCAAACACCTTGGCAACACTGCGACCGACCAGGCCGGCCGCCGGCCGGCGCGCCTTCTACTAGGAATTCCCTCCCAAATCGGCGGTGCGGCCTCATCCGAGAACTACTACTACACTACCGCGCAAGGCCCCGCCCCGCCGCACCCCGCGCACCAGCTCTCCCACTCCGCGAGCGTTTTTTTGCTCAAGGACGCGGGGGCCACAGCCGCCTGCTCTGTTCATCGCCACTTTCCCGGTTCGCAACAACGCTGCCTTCTGTTGAGTGGCGTGGCGTGGCGTGGCGCGGGGAGAGGGAAGGGAAGTCCCGGGCGGATGGCACAAAATGTCGGCGCCCTTTACACACATCCTACACCCCCGTCCGCTGGGACGAACGACCACGAACGACGAGACGTCTACCGCATACGGGTTTTATTTTTACTTTTCTCGCGTTTTCACGGCCGTCGTCATGAATTTGCACCCTTTCAACCTTATTTCTCTCTCTCTCTGTTTTTTATTCGTCTCTTTTTACACCCGCACAAAAGCGCGGAAGGAGCAGGAGGTACAGACAGACAGACATACATATACACTTTCGACGGGGAGAAATAAAACATGGGGTTGGTAAGAGATAGGGGCGGGCTGCGGCGGGCGCGGGAGTTGTCGGCCGCCGGCTGTCGTCATGTGAAAACGTGAATTACTAATGCCACGACCTCCTCATAAATTTAGCGCGGTGCATTCGTCTCCCGGCGGCGACCGCGACCCCCGGGCGCGGGGCCACCACCCCGACCAGACCGCGTCCGTGTCGCCCTATGGGGGCCCCGGGGGACCTCGCCCTCAGGCTGCCCAGCCAAAGCCTCAGGCTCGCCAGCATAACGGGGCCCTTTAGACACAACATGTTTTTGTGTCCCCGTTTCCACCCCGCCGCGCCCTGGCCCTGTCTCGCCCCACCCCGCCCCGCCACGCCCTTGGGCGCATCGCGAGCAGGGCCAACAGGCTGCCCGGGCTGATGGCGCGGGGGAAGGACCAGGGGAAGGGCCCCGCAGGACCTTGGCCGGCCAGACGCGGCCCAGACGACACGTCCCGGCCGCTGCCACGCCCTGCAGGCAGGGCCCTGCAGAGGGCCCTCCTGCTCCTCGTCCTCCTGCAGGGAGGAAAACCTCCATCGCTCTGGCCCAAACGGGCCCAAAGTCCCCTTTTTTGCAGTCTATATTTTCATCACAGGGACGAACGGACATGCGTGTATTTTCGACGGTTCACTTGATATGTCGACCTACAAAGGCAATCAGACGACGCGACCAAAGCTTTAAAAAAAGAAGAAAAACACTTTTGTTCTGATTACGAAGCATTTTTCGGCTGTGTCGCTGCATTACGGGGCATGTTCTACTTCGTAGATTACACAGCATTTCCCCCGCATCTGGTTCTACACGCAATTTCCCTTTCGTCGGTAAATCCCTAAGTGGAACTCGATGTGTTCCCGGTGACTCTGATGACGACGATGGTACCGCTCTCGGTATTTCGCGGGGGCACGTGTCGCTGTGTATGATCAGTTGTACGGCGTACCGTGGCAGGGTGTGGCGGGGCGTGGCGGGGAGG